TGTAAAACCTCCCTCAGATGTTGACTTGGAATCTTTAACCAGAAAGGACTTCTCCAGAAGGCTACTGGTATGGCAGCATTGTAAAACCTCCCTCAGATGTTGACTTGGAATCTTTAACCAGAAAGGACTTCTCCAGAAGGCTACTGGTATGGCAGCATTGTAAAACCTCCCTCAGATGTTGACTTGGAATCTTTAACCAGAAAGGACTTCTCCAGAAGGCTACTGGTATGGCAGCATTGTAAAACCTCCCTCAGATGTTGACTTGGAATCTTTAACTAGAATGGACTTTTCCTATGAAAGAAAGCTCGCTGCTCCTGTTCGCGGATGCGGCGGCATGACATCAGCGCGTAGGCTCCACCCAACGTGTTTTGTGTGCATGCACGTCCTCAGGGGTGCGCCCATTGTCATACCTGTAGGCCATTTGGGCTCCCTGGAAGCCTTGCTGAAAAACTGAGGCTTTATGCACACTGGGGCTTTTGTAAACATTTTTCTCCCGGCAGGAAAAAAGAACCTTCAAAAACATTTCTAAGTTGCATTTTTACAAACGTGTTTAGGTGCGTCAAACGCTTGGGCATTTATTCATTTCATTGGCCACAATATTATTATTTCTGGCCATTGAAATAAAAAAATACTTCAATGCTGAACGCATGTAGCACTTAGACGCGTTTACATGTGTTTAGGTGAGTTTTGGTGTTTTCTCAACCAAAACACTCCTCTCTTGAATGCACAAAATGTTTTTTTGTTTTCTGCCTCTAAACTCCTGTAAACTCCATGGACATATAAATTAAAATGGAGGGGTGTTTAGAGGCAGAAAAAAGTCAAACATCTGTAAAACAAGCATTTCTGATCTCAAGTGTGCATGAGGCCTCACAGTTAGTAATTTAGTAATTCCAACGTTCTGCCTTGTTGCCTCTGGCTTTGCATATCAGTAAGAGGGATGATGGCTTTACTGTGTCGTTTTTTTATTGCTGTCTTCCCTATTTTGGGAAATCCATAACTCCCAACTGTCCATCATTCAGAGGGACACTCCCTCTTTTGGCACCAAGTCCCTCTGCGCCTCTTTCCTTTTTTAATTTTTTTTTCTTGATGTGTAAACCTCTATTACAACTGTGCTATTTATCAAACCATATGAATAAACCTTATGTCCTTTCTAAATTATTGTAGTTGTTGTTTTGGAAAGCCAGTAGAAAATTAAAAAGTGGTAGTGAAGTCTGTTTAACCACTTGACTTCTGGAAGGTTTTACCCCCTTCATGACCAGGGCATGTTTTGCAATTCAGCACTGTTACTTAACCACATCCCGCCCAGCTGTCAATTTGCTATAGGCCGGTGTAACTTTCATTGTCCTGGGTGGACATCATATGACGTCCTCCCGGAATGAGCCTCTCACACGGCCATGAGGCCTTGCTGCGGGCACAATCTGACACCAGCTATGTCCATGGGACACAGCTGATGACTGATCAGTGTACTGGCCCACTGCCAGTACCATGTGATCGCTGTGACCAATCACAACAGATCATAACAATTGTAAACAATGAAAGACTTCAATTCATGTAATTCATTTATTTTTATTTATCGATCGAGTTTATATAGCGCCAAAGGGTTTGCTCAGCGCTGTACAATAGAGGGGGGACAATACATGAAACAGAACAGTAACATCAAACAGCACACGAGGGGTTAGAGGGCCCTACTCTTTCGAGCGTACAATCTAGGAGGGAGGGGGTAGAGGCACAGGAGGAAACGGCTGTGGGGGATGGAGTGGTAGGAGGAGGGAAGGGCAGCGGCTGTTTGGTGAGGGTGGGGTAGGCTTCCCTGAAGAGGTGGGTTTTCAGGGAGCGCCTGAAGGTGAGGAGGGAAGGTGACAGTCTGATGGATTGGGGTAGTGAGTTCCAGAGGATGGGGGAGGACCTGGAGAAGTCTTGCAGTCGTGCGTGGGAGGAGGAGACCAGGGAGCAAGATAGAAGGAGGTCTTGTGAAGAGCGAAGGGTACGGGTAGGGTGGTACCTGGGAATCAGGTCGGTGAGGTAGTTAGGGGCAGTGTTGTGAATGGCCTTATAGGTCAGGGTGAGCAATTTAAATTTAATGCGTTGGGCAATGGGGATCCAGTGGAGGGAGAGGCAGAGGGGAGTGGCAGAGGTGGAGCGGCTGGTGAGGTGGATGAGTCTGGCCGCTGAGTTCAGGATGGTCTGAAGCGGGGAGAGCCTGCACTGGGGTAGGCCGGTGAGGAGGGAGTTGCAGTAGTCCAGGCGTGAGATAATCAGGGAGTGTACTAGTAGTTTAGTGGTGTCTGGGGTAAGGAAGGAGCGTATCTTGGCGATATTGCGGAGGTGGAGTGTGCATGTGTTTGTGAGAGATTTGATATGAGGTTGAAAGGAAAGGTTTGAGTCCAGAATGACGCAAAGGACCTTGGCTTGCTGGGCGGGATTGATGGTGGTGTTGTTGGTAGTGATGGAAAGGATGGGGGGGAGGGCGCGGGCTGGGGGGAAGATGAGAAGCTCGGTTTTGGAGAGGTTGAGTTTGAGGAAATGGAGCGACATCCAGTCAGAGATGTCGTTTAGGAGGTGAGTGATGCGGGCGGAGAATGTGGGGGTGAGGTGAGGGGTGGATAGGTAGATTTGAGTATCATCGGCATAGAGGTGGTAATTGAAGCCGTGGGAGTGTATGAGTTTGCCAAGGGAGGAGGTGTAGATGGAGAAGAGAAGGGGTCCAAGGACAGAGCCCTGGGGGACCCCAACAGAGAGGGGGAGTGAGGAGGAGGTGGCACCGTTGTAGGAAACGCTGAAGGAGCGTTGGGATAGATAGGACGAGAACCAGGAGAGAGCGGTGTCTCTGATGCCAAGGGAGTCTCTAATTCATTGTGTACAATTGTGTTGCTAGCTGTGATTGGTCACAGTGATCACATGGTACAGACAGGGCCAATCACAGCCCATCTATACAATGTGATTAGCTGTGGCCAAGCACAGCTAGTCACAATAAAACACACTGAATGTATCACTTTCATTCAGTAAAATCTTGTTTATAGCAGTGAAATTCACTATTTTAAGCAATCATAATGTGTAAAAAAAAAAACCTGATCACCTACCCAGAGTAGTACAATGTTACTATGGTAACATTGTTTTGCTCTTGTCACAGTGGGGTTTATTTACTAAAGCTGGTTCATTCAGAATCTGGTGCACCTGTGCATGGTAGCCAATTAGCTTCTAACCTCGTTCAATTAATCTTTAGCAATAAAACCTGTAAGCGGATTGGTTTCTTGGCAGAAGTGCATGAGATTCTGACTGAACCAGCTTTAGTAAATAAACCCCAGTGTGTTAAAAAAAAAGTCATAAAAAAATAAAGAAAACCGAAAAAGAAAACTTTTTTTTCCGTACTGTCACCAGTCTATGTCCCTGACCACCACCACAGCAGTTATATGATGATGCTATACTGTACTGGTGACAGTATGCAAAAAACCAAAAAAAATCTGATTTAAAAAAAAAAAAAATTATGACAAAGAATTACAACTTCAAAAAACTCCATGACTCCTCCCAAATACCTTGGGGTGTCTACTTTCCAAAAAGGAGTCATTGGAGTCATTGTACTGTCCTGACAGAATACATTTTAGCCTACATTTTTTGAAGAACATTTCTTTATTTGCAAAATTATAATAGAAACAAAAAGAAAAACGCTTTTTTTTCTAAATTTTGGTATTTTTTTTCCTTTATTTAGAAAAAAAATTAAAAACCCAGTGGTGATTAAACACCACCAAAAGAAAGCACTATTTGTGTGGAAAAAATTTGTTTGGGTACCGTGTTGCATGACCGCACAACTATCATTCAAAAAGTTGAAAAATTGGCCTGGGCAGGAAGAGGGTAAAAGTGCCTGATATTGAACTTGTTAACTACCAATTGCTCGGTCATGCAATATTGTACCCAAATGACATTTTTATTATTTTTTCATACAAATAGAGCTTTTTTTTGGTGGTATTTAATCACCACAGAAAATTTTTAAAACAAAACACATTTTTCTTAGTTTCTGTTATAAAATTTTGCAAATAAATCATTTTTCTTAAAAAATTTTGCCCAAAAATGTATTCTGCTACATTTCCTTGGTTAAAACAGAACCCAAATCAGTGTACTTTTTTTTAGTCTGTGTGAAAGTTATAGAGTCTACAAACTATGGTATATATATATTTGAAGACTGGTCATTTTTGATGTACTGATGGCCTATCTCATTTCTTGAGGTCCTAAAATGCCCCCAAATGACCCCTTTTTGGAAAGGAGACAGCTCAAGGTACCGTATTTTTCGCTCCATAAGACGCACTTTTTTCCCCCCAAAAAAGGGGGGAAAATGTCAGTGCGTCTTATGGAGCGAATATGGAGCGGCCGGTCCGGTATTTCCGCCGCCGCCATGTCAGAATACCGGGCCGGCCGCTCAGCTCTTCTCTTCTGCAGAACCTTACCTGTTCCTCTGTCCAGCGCCGTAGTTTTCCCGCGCCAGCTTTTATGACAGCCGGGTGCACACTGCGCATGCGCGAAAAGCGCTGCGCTTTGTGAATGGTCCGGCGACTTCTGGGACACATGACAGGTCCCAGAAGGCGCCGGGCCATTCATAAAGCGCAGCGCTTCTCCCGCATGCGCAGTGGGCACCCGGCTGTCACAGAAGCCGGCGGGGGAAGAAGCCAGCATGCGCACACTAAAGAAAGGACAACTTCAGGTACCCGCTCCCCCTCCCTCCCCATAGGTCCGCAGGCTCTTGGTCATCCCCTGTACTGTCTGCAGTCTCTGGTCATTCCCTGTACTATGTCCGCAGACTCTGGTCATCTCCTGTACTGTGTCCGCAGTCTCTGGTCATCTCCTGTACTGTGTCCGCAGTCTCTGGTCATCTCCTGTACTGTGTCCGCAGTCTCTGGTCATTCCCTGTACTGTGTCCGCAGACTCTGGTCATCTCCTGTACTGTGTCCGCAGTCTCTGGTCATCTCCTGTACTGTGTCCACAGTCGCTGGTCATCTCCTGTACTGTGTCCGCAGACTCTGGTCATCTCCTGTACTGTGTCTGCAGTCTCTGGTCATCTCCTGTACTGTGTCCGCAGTCTCTGGTCATTCCCTGTACGGTGTCCGCAGACTCTGGTCATTCCCTGTAGTATGTCCGCAGTCTCTGGTCATCCCCTGTACTGTCTCACATAACCTTTTTGTGATAACCATAAATTAAGTATAATAAACTCATATAATCAAAACTAAAGAAAAATAAAATAAAATCTATAAAAATATGTGAATTGTGTCCAAAAAAAATTTTTTTTTAAATAGTAATTGTGTCCAATGTCCAATTCCCAATTTTCCACCTTGATGCAGTTAGAAGGAAATCAATCCTAGATATTCTGAAATACCTCAAAATAAAAGAAAAGAAAAAACCATAGTGCATTATCTTTTACATATATAACACTCCACTCAGTGCTCAACACAAAAATCATTCTTAAATTGTGCAAAAAAAAAAAAAAAAAAAACTTATACAAATATTCTTTTAATTTGTATAAAATTCAAACCCAAAAAGTGAAAACTCCGTGATCACTACATAACCACACACTTTGTGATCAACCACTTCAATTCCAAAAAAACACTCTGTGCACAACCCCTAGTGAATAGTGATACTAGGTACTTGTACCCTTTTTAATCCAGCCACAAATGATACCAGGTACTATTACCCTCTTATAGTTGTTTTCAGGCATGGGCTAACAAAAGTACTCCTTTGTTTCCAATGCTTTACTTCAAGGGCAATCCTCCAATATCCTCATGAAAATAAACAGGCTTTTAGGCAGAATCCATATTAAAGGAACAAATTTAATCCAAACTTACATAAAAGAAAGCAAATCCGGCTCCCAGCATTACTCCTTCAATGGCTTTTTACAAACATTTAGAAAACCACATGTACACCACCAAAAAGATGGCCGCGGCGACACTTCCGGTTTGGCGTGCGTGCGTCTTGACGTCACTCTCTAACGCGTTTCGTCACTTCCGGACTTCATCTGAAGGGATCCCCTGTACTGTGTCCGCAGTCTCTGGTCATCTCCTGTACTGTGTCCGCAGTCTCTGGTCATTCCCTGTACTGTGCCCGCAGTCTCTGGTCATTCCCTGTACTATGTCTGCAGTCTCTGGTCATCCCCTGTACTACGTCCGCAGTCTCTGGTCATCTCCTGTACTGTGTCCGCAGTCGCTGGTCATCTCCTGTACTGTGTCTGCAGTCTCTGGTCATCTCCTGTACTACGTCCGCAGTCTCTGGTCATCTCCTGTACTGTGTCCGCAGTCTCTGGTCATCTCCTGTACTGTGTCCGCAGTCGCTGGTCATCTCCTGTACTGTGTCCGCAGTCTCTGGCCATCTCCTGTACTACGTCCGCAGTCTCTGGTCATCTCCTGTACTGTGTCCGCAGTTTGTGGTCATCTCCTGTACTATGTCTGCAGTCTCTGGTCATCCCCTGTACTATGTCCGCAGTCTCTGGTCATCTCCTGTACTACGTCCGCAGTCTCTGGTCATCCTCTGTACTGTGTCCGCAGTCTCTGACCATTTCCTGTACTGTGTCCGTAGTCACTGGTCATCTCCTGTACTGTGTCCGCAGTCTCTGGTCATCTCCTGTAGTGTGTCTGAAGTCTCTGACCATCTCCTGTACTATGTCCGCAGTCTTTGGTCATCCCCTGTACTGTGTCCGCAGTCTCTGGTCATCTCCCGTACTGTGTCCGCAGTCTCTGGTCATCCCCTGTACTGTGTCCACAGTCTCTGGTCATCCCCTGTACTGTGTCTGCAGTCCATTGGTTCAGAATATTTTTTTTTCTTGTTGTTCACCTCTAAAACTTAGGTGCGTCTTATAGTCAGGTGCGTCTTATGGAGCGCGAAATACGATATTTAGTAAGAGGCATGGTGAGTTTTTGAAGTTGTAATTTTTGGGTGTCAAAATGTTTTGGAAATTGAAGAAACTAAATCAGTATTGTATCAGTATGTCAGCCAGCCTGGCTGTGCCTGCCTGTCTACTGTAAATGTATTGCCTTCAAGGCCTTCATGACCAGGCCATTTTTTGCTATACAATGCTGCGCTACTATAACTGACAATTGCATGGTCATGCAACGCTATACACAAGTTACATTTATATTATTTTTTCACACAAATAGAGCCTTCTTTTAGTGGTATTTCATCACCAGTGGGTTTTTTATTTTTTACGCTTTAAACAACTAAAAAAAGACCAAACATTTTGAGGAAAAAAACCAATATTTTGTGCTATAAAACATATCAAATAAAAAAATTAAATTTCTTCATAAATTTAGGCCAAAATGTATTCTGCTACATGTCTTTGGTAAAAAAAATCCCAATAAGTGTATATTAATTTAGTTTACGTGAAAGTTATAGCGCCTACAAATGGCGGTATAGATACTGGAATTTTTTCTTATACTAGTAATAGCGACGATCAGCGACTTTTAGCAGGACTATTATAGTACGATAGGCATTCTGACACTGACTAACTGACACTGACATCCCCAGTGACACTAATACAGTGATCAATGTTAATAAAATGCACTGACACTGTTCTAACGACACTGGGCAGGAAGGGGTTAACATCTGGGCAATCAAAAGGTTAACTGTGTGCCTAACTATGTGTAAAGTGTGCAATGATAGGTGATAGGTGACACTGATAGGTGATACTGATGAACTGGCACTGACGATGTGTACTGATAGTTGACACTGATAGCTGGCACTGACTGGCGGCACTGCTGGGCTGCACTGATGGGCACTGCTGGGTTGCACTGATGGGCACAGGTGGGTGGCACTGCTGAGCACTTGTGGGTGGACCTGGTGGGTGGCACTGCTGGGCACCGATCATCAGTGCCCTGATGATCGGTGCCAATCCCTGCTCTGACAACTGCCGATTCTCGGCAGTACTTTCCTCACGCTCTGGCAACGTGAGGAAAGTGCAGCCGAGAACCGGCAATTGCATTTCATGGTGATCAGCGTGTCATTGGACATGGCTGATCACGTGGTGAAAGGCCGCTGTGATTGGCCTTTTACAACATCACATGAAAACCGGTGTCCGTAGGACACAGCGATCACAGAGATCACTGGGTGCGCCCGGGGGCACGCAGGAGAGCGTGTTCTAGGAGGACATCATATGACGGCCTCCCATAGCTGGGCGGCCGCAGTGTAGCCGTCATTCGGCTACCTGCGGTCAGCAACTATTTAAGAAGCATGTTTATGAATTTTCTTTGCTTTTTTCAGGAATTTATAGAGGGACAAAGTTTTGTCCAGAAAAAAAACACTTTGGGGTTGATTTGCTAAAACTGGAGTGTGCAAAATCTGGTGCAGCTATGCATGGTAACCAACCAGCATCTAGTTTCAGCTTGTTCAATTAAGCTTTGACAAAAAAACTGCTCCATGTATCCATTCACGCACAGAGGCACAGCTTGGTCCCACCCCCTCTCTCTTCTCATTGACTTACTTGCTGTGATTGACAGCAGTGGGAGCCAATGGCTCCCGCTTCTGTCTCAGCCAATGAGGAGAGGGAGTCCTGGGATAGCCAAGACTCCAGTGCATATCTCTGGAACACTAAATGGTGCAAAGTTCTATGAGAATTAGTGCCATCTACTGGCAAAATGCAGTATTTTTTTACCCGGGCAGCACAGTAGCTAAATGGTTAGCACTTCCGCCTGGCAGCACTAGGGTCGTTGGTTCAAATCCTAGCCACGGCACCACCTGCCTGGAGTTTGCATGTTCTCCCTGTGCCTGCGTGGGTTTCCTCCGGGTACTCCGGTTTCCTCCCACACTCCAAAGACATGCTGGTAGGTTAATTGGCTCCTGTCTAAATTGGCCCTAGTATGTGTATGTATGAATGTAAGTTAGGGACCTTAGATTGTCCACCCCTTGAGGGTTAGGGACTGATGTGAATGTATAATATATATACTGTATGTAAAGCGCTGCATAAATTGACAGCACTATATAAGTACCTGAAATAAATAACTTTTTTATTTAAATCAAAGACAAATATTTGACCAGCACAAGAGCCTAATAACAATTGTTTTTTTACTCCATTTACATAGAACAGGAGTCAGTGGAAGGAATAGTGACCCATTGTTGGTGTCAGGAAATATGCCCCATTTTTTGGTGTCAGTGGCAGGAATAATGCCTCAAGGGCCAGATAAAGGCAAGCGAAGGGCCACAGTTTGGAGAGCACTGACATAGAACAAATGTACATGCACGTTCACTTGGTGAAATGCTATGTAAATTTTTAAAATCAAGTACACACCTAAGTGTACTTTCTGATTTCACAGTTTACTGTTTATGTGAAAGCATTAGCAGCTCACACAAGTTGTAGATGATATCATACATAACAATCTAATCTGTTGAGCACTGAAGAAATTATTTAAATATGATGGATAGTCTGTGTTTAAGTGTTCATATGTATCCAGCAGCCAAAGGTCAATGATACAGACCTATGATAATGGCTAGATAAACAGTGGGTGGTGGATTATCAGAGGTAACACACTGGGATCTCTGTGAATAGAGAATCAGTGGAATGTTAAAGAATGCAATTGTTAGCCAGAGGCATCCCTTTATAGCAACCACGCACCAAGTGTGTGAATGGGCATTTTAATGATCATGGGATCTTAGTACACAGGTGAATTTTTTTAATGCAGTTTCACAACATTAATCACGTACCCATATATTGTAATGAATAGTTTCCTATATGACCAGCTGCATAAAAGATGTTAAAGCACCTTGTAGCATGATTAATTTCTTCTATGGAGTTTAAGGAGTCAGGCAATTAATCGATCATTTAAGAAGTATTTTGGAGGTTCTGAGCAAGAACTATTCATAATAATGGGGAAAGCAGAACGCCTTAGGTTTCCTTTAGCATATTAATCTCATGTGATTAATTGCATCACAATTGTGTAGGATTGCATTGTTGTCATTGTGTCATTAATCTCAGCGACCAAAGCTGCAAAGGTCAAAACTCACTCACATAGTCCTAACAGTATGCCTGTCCTGAGTTCAGAAAAAATGAACATTAACTAAGCTGTCCAGCACTGATATCCCCTATCAGCTAATTAGCATGAGCCACTGGATACATTGGATTAGACATGAGCAGGGCTGTGAGTGATGCACATTGGGGATGATTTATAAAAAGTGAAAGAAAAGTCTCTGTGTTGTTCATAGCAATTAATCAGATGTCTCTATTTTCTAACCTGCTATATGACAATGAGAAAAATGTACTGGACATTAAATCTGCTTCATGACACCAAAAGGTTCTAATTTTAGGACAGCTCCATATAGCATAAAATCATTACATTTGGACTTACATTTAAAGCATCTATCATTTTCTTGCTTATCTATGTATTTTGTGTAACTTCTCTGTATATTATAATTAAATTACTAAAATATCATTGACTGTGTTTCAACCTTTCCTTTACATTTTTTTTTTTTTACAATATATTACCTTTTGGGGGAATTTGTGTTCATTAACCACTTTTCTACCAGAGCCATTTTTTCTAGTTTTTGCACACATGTTAAATAGCCCATTTTAGGTGTGAAGGCTAGTTAAACCCCCAAATAGTATATGCTTTCTGAGAGAACCTGGAGAATAAAATGATTATGAATATAAAATGGATTGGTGCTGTGCTACTCAGTGCATAAATGAATATTAAATAGACATATTTAATATTCAGAGACACCGCTCTCTCTTGGTTCTTGTCCTATCTATCCCAACGCTCCTTCAGCGTTTCCTACAACGGTGCCACCTCCCCTTCCCTCCCCCTCTCTGTTGGGGTCCCCCAGGGCTCTGTCCTTGGACCCCTTCTCTTCTCCATCTACACCTCCTCCCTTGGCAAACTCATACACTCCCACGGCTTCAATTACCACCTCTACGCTGATGATACTCAAATCTACCTATCCACCCCTCACCTCACCCCCACATTCTCCGCCCGCATCACTCACCTCCTAAACGACATCTCTGACTGGATGTCGCTCCATTTCCTCAAGCTCAACCTCTCCAACACCGAGCTTCTCGTCTTTCCCCCTTCCCGCGCCCCCCCCCCATCCTTTCCATCACTACCAACAACACCACCATCAATCCCGCCCAGCAAGCCAAGGTCATTGGCGTCATTCTGGACTCAAACCTTTCCTTTCAACCTCATGTCAAATCA